GGGTTATAGATTTTGAAGCCTCAAACCACATGGGTGGGGCTCCGGACTCATTTAGCATCATGTCTAAGTTGATGATTAAGAGGCCATTACTTGGTGTAATGGTAAAATCTCAGGCTGATAGGTGTGGGATCATGAGTTTGAGTCTGAGAACAGCCACTTTGTGTGAGAAAATATCAAACATTAGTACTGTATCTAGTCCACCCCTCCCAAGACCCCAGATTGCTGGGACCAACATATAGGGTAATGGCCTTTCTATATCTAACTTAAGTTTTTTCTTCTGAAGATAAATAAAAAATAAAATTATTCAAGAAGAGAATAGAAGATACAAAACAGGTGATAAGAAATCACCCACCAACAAAAGACAAAACAGCCCCAAGTCCACACCCTCCCTAACAACTTTAGAAACACATAAAGAAACAGAATCCCCAAACATTTTACAAACAAACCTCTCCTTAAAATCAAGCCTTCCCCACAAAAAATCAAGTTACAACTCATCCCAACCAAACCCTAAATCCCCAAACTTAACCTGCTGTAAATGACCCCTGACTGAACACCACAGAAAAAAGAACCCTGCATAGTTGTCAAGGCAACACCTAGACGACTAAGTGCTATTAAAAGCTTGCCTCGCCCAAATAACTAAAGATTTATTAATTAGGTGCATGCCTAGTTAATAAGTAAATAAATATATATTTGTAATTTTCTAATTGATTAGTTAATATTTCTTAAAGTACATCCTGCTATACTGTACCATTTTTTTAATTGTAATATGTACTAAATAGTGAATATTGTTATATTTATGATTTTAAGCCTTGTTAGTGCTGAATCAGGATTTTTGAAGACCAAAGAGACTCAATGTATCAATCAAAGAGCCCCGATTTTTGAACTTGAACAAAACATCAGGTATTTATTCCTCCTCTTCTTAGTCTGCCCCTTCTTCATTTCTTAGCTTTTTTTTTTCTTTTTTACCATCCTTTCTTGGTCTGAAATAGGAGTCCCCCCCCCCCGTGTTCTTTCTTATATTTTTACCCGGCTTTTCCCTTCATTCTATTGGACTTGAACAGGGCCTCCGCCCCCTTTTTTCTTCTTTTTCTTTCCTGTTATTTTTCTTACTTTTTTTATTCTTTCTTTTGGACTGAAACAGGGGCTCTGCCTCCTTGTTCTTTATCTTCTTTTCTTAGAATTTTTCCTAGTTCTTTTCTTCCTTGACTCTTTATCTCAGGCATATAAATAGGGGTTCTGCTCCCATTTTCTTAGTTTTTTTCATTTTCATTTTCTACTTTTTTTCCTTTTTCTCTTGGACCAAAATAGGGTCTCCAGTCTCAACCCCTCTTTTCTTTCTCATTTTTCCTGTTTTTTCTCACTTTTTTTCCTCCTTTGTTTTTACTAAACAGGGACTGCACTTCTACATTTTTGACTCTTTATCTCAGGCATAAATAGGGGCTCTGCTCCCATTTTCTTAGTTTTTTTCATTTTCATTTTCTACTTTTTTTCCTTTTTCTCTTGGACCAAAATAGGGTCTCCAGTCTCAACCCTTCTTTTCTTTCTCATTTTTCCTGTTTTTTCTCACTTTTTTTGCTCCTTTGTTTTTACTAAACAGGGACTGCACTTCTACATTTTTGCTTCTATCTCTTCAACTAGAACAAGGCATCACTCCTTTTTTTTTTACGTATTATACTTCTTTCTCTTGGACTGTCAACTGTGAAATAGGGGTTGCACTCCCTTCTTTTCATCATTCTTGAAGTAAAAATTTACTGAAACAGTAGTATCACACGTTAGGGACTAAAGGTAAACATTAGACACTTTAGAGGAAAATCTATCGCCTAGGCGAGGCCTAGGCACCTAGGCATCTAGGCACACTTGGGTAGCTTAGCTTCACCTACGAGCCTTGAAAACTATGGAATCCTGATACACATTTAAAGTAGGCCCAAGAGGGGGAAATGTTTAACTTGACCTAGGCATCTTTTTTTATTTCTTCACCCTCTTTAACAGACCCAACCCAGAAAAGGCCCCCCTTCAGCCTAGAAAAAACTTTAGACACCTGAACTGTGCCCTGAGACTTCACTTTTGAACTATCTAACTGCATTGGGTCTTCTCTCAGAAACTTCCTGATCTTTTGCCTCATCCAAAATAACGTTTTTCTCAAAGATCTGAGCTGCCTTCAAATCCTTGTCTCCAACACTTCCATTCCCTTCACCCCCAGAAGATCTCAATCTTTTCCTGGTCGTCACCATTCCTCACCAGAGGACTTGCCTCCCTATCATCCAACATAATGTCCTCCCTACTCCTCAATGACAAGCAGGCTCTTTCTTCCAATTCCCTAAATATCTTTCTTGCAAATTCCTTCCTCCCAGAAAGCACAGACCCAATATCTTACTTACCTCCACTTCTTTGTTCACCATTATTTCCAAGCTGATAGATCTCCCAATTTCATGTGTTTCATCAATGATAATACCTTCTTCAGGAGACTCAATTGTACTGTCATCTTCAACTCCAACCCCTCCCTCTACTGCTATGTTTTCTCTTCCTTCCACATTTGTTATCAGCTTTGTTCTATACTTCCTTTTGCTCTTGATATTTCAAAAAAAAAAACTTCTTTTTTCTCTTACACAATTTCAGACCTATTAACTTGCACAGTTGCACTCATAATTCTCAAGCTTTTCGCGACAATCCAGGCTATCCTCTCGCAGCCCCTTCAAAATTGATTTTCCTATCTCAACTTTATTAACTGTTTCATTGACCTCCGGTAACATCAGTTGTTTTTTTTTTTTTTGATGAATGAAAGTAGTTTTATTAAATCAGATATCAGCCTAGGAGGAGACACGAGATGTTACCCCCCCTAGGACTGAGCCATATACACCAAAACTGCCCAGGCCTGAGACACAATTACAAAGTAGCCCAAAATAGATCTCCCCTTGACACCCCTTGCTTGGCCAAAGAATCAGCCATTGCATTTGCTGATCTTCTGACCCACTGAAACCTGACAGTCATATTCCTTGTCATCCATTTAACTTTCTTTAACAGATCCCTGTATCCCCAACAGGATGTTTCTGGGCTGATTAGCCAGCCTACTACTACCTTGGAATCCCCTTCTACTAGCAGATTGGTCACTCCAATTTGACTAGCCATCTGTATACCTTGTACCGCTGCTAGTAGCGGTACATCAGGCTGTTTCCGGTAACATCAGTTGTTGACATAAAAACTTCCCTCTAACACTTTTTCTGTATAATTTGATTGCTGACCACCTAAGTTAGTTTTTCCATTCCCAACTGGTTCTGCTTCCTCAACAGTCTCCACCACTCTTAAGAGACTTGTTGATTTGAGGAACTACAGTTGACTCCTTGACAAATAAATCTTGAAGGATTCCACAATCAACAAAGGGATTAGCTGTTCATCCTTTTCTTCCCCCATTTCTGCAAAAGCTTCTTTCCCACAGTTCTTGTTTCCACCTTCCTTGTACCACCATCCCTACAACCAAGTGAATGTTCAAGCCTACCTCTTTCACATATTTTGTAGCCACCCATTCCCAAATGTCATCCTTTTCTTTCCCAAGTCCGATTCTTTTCCTTGTGACATGCTTCTTAACTTGCAACTCTAGTTTTCCTTTTGAGACTCGTCAAACCCTCGCCCATCCTCTCTACTACTACTGCTTTGCTGCTGTTTCAGTCTAACAGGTTTCTCCGATCTTCTAGTTGGAATTAGGTCGATAGCACCCTGCACTCTTCCATCAACATTCTACCCAAATATTGCATAGAGCAAAGGGTCAGACCAAATGGGAGTTTATCCAGAGGTTAAACCTCTCTCAGCATCCAAACTATTCACAAGGGTCTCATTTGGGAAAGAAGAAATATCCTCCTTAAAGTCTCCCAACTGGGTCATGTGACTCCCTAAAACGCCATGTGCCTTATGAACCCAACCACTTAAACTGGGTCGACCAACCTCAAGGCTCAACTTTCTTGTTTTGACTCTTTGTTTGCTTGAACCATCTTTAAACCCATCCTTGTTTCCATCCAAACCCATCCCCCTCCTAAAACTTGTCGGTTTGCCTCCCCATGCTTACCATGCACGTCAACAATTTTCTGGACAGGAGGTAATTCCTCTCTCCCATCATGCAAAGGTTCTACTGCCAAACTGCACACCAAATTTTGAAGCACCACCATTATTAGTGAAATGGCATGTAACATCATGGCTATTTGAATTCAGCAAATCCTTTTTCAAATAAGGATCCAAGAAAATTGAATTCTCCAATCTTTCCCCACCATGTAGTTCATCTTCCTCAACTTGTTCATGCTCCAACCTACAACCTTCATTCCAGAGAGCAGCTTCAACAGAGGTTGCAAGCCAGATACTATGGAATGCCATCTGAGAAAACTTCCATCTTCCTTGGAATAGCTTCAGGCTCCACTCCCACCACTCTCACTGCTACTGAACATCTTGAGTGGAGATGCATATTACTTGTATTTCTATGCATAGATAAATAATATTTTACCTACTAATTTGTTTTTTTATCCCCCTTTTACTGTACTTTTTGCATTCCTCAATTGAGATTATAGACATGAAAAAAAAAACTATTTTCTGTTTCTTTTTCTTTTTTTTCTCCCAAAAATACTTTGAATTTCCCATTGTTTAGATCCTTAAACTACAGTGAGCCTACTCAAACAACTTTACCATGGAGAATCATGCTTGTTTATTCTAAAGCATGTCTATGCCTATGATACCCAGATACTGGCATAAAAGGGTGTCATCTCATGGTGGATGCTTCAATCTTTAATGTAAACTTTGTATCCGACACCATATCCAGCTGTGTCCTTGTCATATCTTGCAACATATGTATTTGCTAACAAATGAAGCAAAAACTAATCTGCAACAAGACAAGGCATCAGAACTTATTGACTATGGAACATGTTAGTAGTTAGCTAAGTACTGCACCAAGAAAACTTATAAATGGAATTCAAGAATGTTTACTGAAGCAAAGGATATGAGAAAGCAGTGAAAGAACTCACCCCCAAAACAATTGATTTAAGTACTTTTTGAAAGCCAAGAACCCTCCCATTGCTATCAAAAGTTGCTTGCCACTTCTCTGGCTTAAGCATTTTGTTAATCTACAACATTAGAAACAAGAAGCAAGATAAGAGATATCGATGATTACACAACTCATACCATTAAATGCATTCAAGAGCATTAAATAAGAGGGATGACTTATAAAATAGATTCATGAAATAATAAATGTATCTATGGAAATTAGGAACAGTGCAACATTCAGAATCATCATCATCTAAGGGTAGGCCTTGGTGCAACAGTTGGGTTGTTTCATTTCGACCTGGGCGACCAGGGCTGAAATCTTGGAAACAGCCTCTCTGTATGTTCAGGGGTAAGACCGTATACATCTGTCCCTCCCCAGACCCCGAATTGGTGGGAGCCTCATTCACCAGGCTGCCCTTTACCATCACCTAAGCCCAACCCCAGCTACAAGGGATCAGCTACATGAATCCTGTTTGGTCAATTCATTCTGTTCAGTGCCACACACTGTTAAATTAGGAGCTCCTTTAAATCATTTATAGCTACTTCAACCCATGTCTTTTTTGGTCTGCCCCTAGATCTTCTAGCCCCTTCAACTTGTAACAGATCACTTCTTCTTACAGGTGTTGTACATGGTCTTCCCTACATGTGACCAAACCATCTTAGTCTACTTTTCCTCATTTTATTACCAATTTATGCTACTCCTAGGTTTATTCTAATGAGTTCATTTCTAAACCTGCCCTTTCTAGTTTTCCCACTCACCCATCTCAACATTTGCATTTCTACCACACTCATTTTGTGGACATGTTGTTTCTTGACTGCCCAACACTCTGCCTTACAAAACATTGCTGGCCTCGTAACCACTTTATAAAAGTTTTAGGATATAGATCAATTCAAACCATAGGAATGGGTAAATAAGATGATATGGACATCAAGATGATCAATAGTGCTACATGAGTCTAGCAGTCTGGGAAGTTTTGATATTTTCACTAAACTTTCTTGTACTCAGCTTTGTAGGGGTATCTTCATTACTTTAACATTGTGTTTTTCAGCCACATTTCTACTCTGTGATTCAATTATATTATTACACTTGCTTTAGAGGTCTGAATTGTCAGTTATTAGTTGTAGTCTATAGAGACTAAGTATGACTTGTGAGTTGTGAGATATCATGGATTTTGATTATTTGTTGATATGGAGGGAGCAAAGTCCATGAATAGAGACCACGGCAAGATTACTATTAATAGGTGAAACACTCTAGTAAACAGTATTGGATCCCAAACCTCCTTTGAAAGAAAGTTGATTTTCCCAGGGAGTTTACATCGAAAAGATGAATTTGGAATTTTTGGGGAGTTTGGTCTTGTAGCAGGCATAAAGATGAAATGAGTGGGTGAAAGTAAAAATTAGCCCTAAATTTATTTTATTGACAATAAAGCATTTTATTACCAACAAGGCAACAATTGGGTTGAAGTCCCATCCTTGCTCCCTTGTTTTGGTTACCTTACTGCCAATTCCTTTGTCACCCTTTGTCACCAAATCTAGATTGAATACAATGAGATGGATCCTGGATGAAATGTAGATGTGCCAACTCCAGGAAGAAAGTTTGGGATCATTTGGGACCCCATAAAACACATTAATGCTCTTTTGCCACAATTACTTGTGAAAACATCTCATTACCACTCCTTATTTTTAATATTGAATCTGTCACATGCATGTGGAATACATATACTGATATACATAGTTGTAGACAATGTTCTTAATACAGGACCATAGAACAGGCATATTAATTGGAAAAGCATATCATTAAGTTCCACCTAATGCCATAAAATAGTAAATTGTCTCCACTCTGAATAGGGGCTTCCCATTCTATCAAAAACAAAATTCTATCCATATGACTAATAAAGAATTTCCTTATTTTCATAGGGACATCTTACTTTACCTAATGGAACATCATTGAATTCGTTCCTAGGAAAAATTGTAGAAACTTCTCATGCATGATGTCAACTAGCTCCAACTTTTCCTTTTGAAAGAAAAAAAAATTCCATCAAAATACCTACCAATTATCACTTCTTCATGTTGTTTCTATAAAAGCAGGGTTGAAAAAGATTAAGTTGAACCTTTATTTCAATTATCAAAGAAAAAAGGTTAAGTTGAACCTTGGTTGCAATTTGAGGTTTACATGCGTAATGCCATCGACATTTTTTATATAATATATAGTTTTTGAAACAGAACTCGAGTTTCCCAATGATGGAAATGATTTTCAGTTAGCAAGAGAGTGGCTTATATAATTTTCTAAATAAAATCTAAAGTTATTTTGTAGTTAAACGTAGCAACTTTCTAACAGTGGCAATGGCTCATACTACTGATACTGCATTGCTATTAAGCAAATCGAGTATACTATTTATCTGCATTTTGTGTTCAGGCCTGCATTTCTGGAAATGCAAAATGCATCATTTCAATGTATTTTGTAATTCAACTAACCTTTGTAGGTGAATGGAGGCAAGGCTCCCGAATATCGCGAACAATAGAACTTATAAGTTGCAAATTGACCGTACCCGCCTTTACACAAGTCCATTGCTTGTCCTCTTCGTCTAAAGACATCACAAATCCCCCCACCCCTCCCCCCTCCTCTTACGTTCTCACCTCCTGAGACCAATACAACGAATCAATCAGAAATTAGCTTCGTAATAAAAGAACCGCTGCAAAGAAAATGATGTTCCCACATTAGGAGGGAGGAAAAGAGAAACAGGAATTATCCGAACATAAAAACGAAACTGCAGTAAAGATAAATCCATTTGAAAATCAACTGGAAGTAGATTTCATTATTTAATTCGAACAATTATGAAGTAAAATAAGCTATTGAAAGAAAATAATCAGAAAACCATCCAATTCAAAGGTTTGGCGCAATTCGGCAAGGGCGAACTATGGATTGAGAAAGAACAAGAATGGCTAGTGATCCGATTCAAAATTTCACGAACAAAAGAGACCGATTTGAAGTTCCAAGTGAACCGAAAAACGAAAACAAACACAGATAACATAAATTAACCTGAAAATAGTGGAGATATGGAGATCTGAGGTCCGAGCGGAGTTCTACGAGCTCCGCCATTAACATAGACCGTTTTCTCTGGCCGGAGTTTTTTATTTTGAAAAATAATAATTATAAAATAATAAGAAAATTAATTATGAACGATGAAGCCATGAAGGCCGAAGAAAAAAGAAAAGAAACAACGTCTCAGTCTCAACTTTCAATCCTTTTCTCAATTTCTGTTGTTTATTTAATTATTATTTTTATATAGAGATTTCTCTTGAATACGCGAGGTGCGTAATGCGCGCCAGAATCCCACTTTTTGGGATTGTGAGTATTACGCACGGCCGCGCAGTTTAGGATTTTCTATTCGTCGTTTCTCAGGGACTTTATCTGGTCGTCAGCGTAACAGTCAACCAGACAACCCCTTGTGGTCAGTGGTGCACGTGCAACGGTGATAATGGAAAATAAATGAACCAAGCGATGGTCTGGACGTGAGGACAGTACAAGTATGTGAAATGTCAAAACTTTCCTTATTTATTTTTTCTTTTACTATAACCAGTTTTGGACAACATAATTTGGCATTTTAAGACCACAAATCACAAGATTTCAGCAATCCAGTCAACTTGTCAACAACGGACCACCATTCTCATCTAATCTAAACTCTTAATGCTATGTTTGGTTTGAAGGAAAAGGTAGAAAAGAAAAGAAAGGAAAACATGTATAAACTTTGAAAAATGGTAATTTCAAATACGTGCCGATCTTAAAAAATAAAAATAAACAATCAAATAGTAACCCATTCGTGAGGAGTTTTATTTAAATTTAAATACAAACTATTCTTTTATTTCCTCCTTGAAATAAAGCCTTTTTTTAAATAGATTTTAGACATTTGACTTAGTTTGGAAAGAGTATAAATACAAATATATACAACGCAAAATCTTGTATTTTGTATTATTGTATATGTATTTACATTGTACATATTTATATTTGCATTTGATTCAGTTTGGAAGAAATTCAAATACAAATATATAGAGTACAAAGCCTTCTATTTTGTATGCATTTACATTATACATACTTGTATTTGTACTCTTTCCAAACTGAGCCTTAGAGCAGTTCAAGGAGTAAATTTGGCACCAAGCCACAATAACCAACAAAAGAATCATGTTCAATGAGCACTTTTAAACTAGCTAACACAATCTATACAGGAATTGTATTCCATTCAACTTTCCATGACTTTTTCTCCATTCTCCTTCGAAAACTAATGGAGTGGCATTCTCACTCTCTCATTGCCTTGAGACAAACGAATACAAATAACATTATTATATTTATATAGTAATTAAATACATGCATTGTATGTGATAAATTTTTCTTCATATTAATTACTTAAATTTTAGAGATATCATAGTTAAGATAGAAATTGAAAATTAACAAAAGTAATAATAAGATTAAAAATAAACTTAAATGCTTGTAGCAAATAACAATTATAAAAATAATAATTATTATTATTAAATTTTGTATTCCATTTCGGTCAAAAATAAAAATAACTTTTATTTTAACAATTATTTTTATTTAATATGATGATCATATAACATTAGAAGTGTTCTCAAATGTTTTCTACAAAATCTGTACAATTTTATTTTTGGTGTTCTATCATTTTTTAAATACTTATTATTCAATTATGGCACTATAGGTTTCTTCGAAAAGTTGAACCATTGACCCACCATCTAGATAAGAAAATAGCTTTTCTTTCAGATTAGTTATAAATTAGGGAGAATTATAGTCAAAGTGGGCTATACATTTAAAATTAGGTTGCATGCAGGTTGGTCCTAAAACCGACAAAGCTCTGACAACCGGCTCTACATTTCAAATTATAAAAACTCTCGCCATGTCATTGGAGGTTTATGTGGTTGTTGCCAATATGGGACTCTCAATCCATGTTGGACACAACAAAAATCTTATACCAAAATTGCCCTTTAATGTTGGGCGATTGAAAAATTAAAAAAAAAAAGGTTTTTTAGTTTCTCTTCCTCTCTCTCTCTCTCTCTCCCTCCTCTCACTCTCACTGTCATCTCTCTCTTCTCAACGACTATGTGATTTGAAAATAAATAAAAATGGTTTTCGATTTCAGTATTTACGTTCTCTCTATTAATTTCTCTCATTCCCTTTGCCTGCCTATCATTCTCCCTCAATCTCTCTCATTCTCTTTCTCGGTCGATCTCTCCTTGTCCCTCAATTTCTGTTGTTCTCCCTCAATTTCTCTCCCACTCCCTCTCTCATTATTTTTTTATTTTCTTACACACTTATATGATATTAATCAAATCGTATAAAAGAACATGAGACCAACTTGGTATGGTTCAAAAATCATTACACCAATTTGATAAAAATTCACAAAAAACTCTTGGCTATGAAATTTACACCAACTTGATAGAAATTTATAACTTGGTTGTACAAGTGGTTGGTCCCTTTAGTTTTTTTATACTATCTGAATAATATTGTATAAGTTTGTAAGAAAATAAAAAAAAAAAGAACAAGAGAGGAGCGGGAAAAATACTAAGGGAGGAGTTATTGACAAGAGGGAGAAGAATGAGAGAGAGATAGAGGGAGAGAGGGAGATTTTGATTTGGCTACAGTCCAAAGCTGAGAGAGTGGGAGACACAAAGGGAGTGGGAGAGAAACTAATAACCTATTTTCGATATAGGCTTTTTGTTGTGGACTTGTGTCCAACATGGATTAAGAGTCCCATGTTGGTAACAACAAGATAAGCCTATAATGACATGGCTGGGTTTTTATAATTTGAAATGTATAGCCAGCTAATTATCAGAGTTTTGTTGGTTTCTAGACCAACTTGCAACTTAACTTTAAATGTACAACCAACTTTAACTATAATTTTCCCTTTAAAGTATATATTCCATTTACATTATATAAATATTTTTTACTTATCACATTTAATTTTTGTTTGTTTATGATATCATTTGACCCAAATCACTAACCCACCACCCAAAAAGAAAAATAGTTTGATTTTTAGGTTAACATTAAATTCCGTATTACATTTCCATCATTGATAAAATTATTTCTTATCTATAATACTTGTTTTTATTCAATATAATGAATACATAATATTAGAGATGTACCCAATATTTTATTTTTTATAAATATATAACATTAGAAATGTGTCCAGATTTTTCTCTGTCCTTTATTTTTATTTTTGTGATTATTTTAATTTTATATTTTTCAAAATTTTATTATTTGACTATGGCATCTAGGGGTGCTCACTGCTCGGGTTTTATATTTTTCAAGATAAAGGCCTGAAGTCAAACTTGGACAATGAATACTGAAATGGTGGTCGATTTGCTAGTGCTGGACAGGTTGTCGTCACCTCAACTTAAAGTGAGAGGTGGCAAAGATGATAGGTGTTACCGGAGAGGGAGTAACGGGCACCTGGCTTTGGTGGCTTGGTGCTTGTTGGCGATCGGCGTTGCCGCTTGGTGGTTGGCATGGAGCAGCAGAGGAGATGAGAAAGAGAGAGAGAGAGAGAGTAAGAGTGAGGGAGAGAGAAATAAAGAGTTCTCAGTCCTAGGCCTTTTGGCATGGCCATAACAGAGAAGGGAGGGGAAGAGGCCATCGGAGGACGACCGTCAATTGACGTCGATGTCAAATGATGAAAGATGATGACCAACGCTAGAGGAAAGCAAGGGGAACTGGGGAGGAAGACGAACAAGAGGAAAGCAAGGGTTTTCAGTTTTGGTATTAGCCTTTAGGTAACGAAGAAGGAGAAGTGGGAAAACTCAAAAAGTCAAATGGCAACGGGTTTATTTCGATTTAAAAAAATAAAAATAAAAATAATATATATATATATAATATTACTGTATATATATATATATACCAGTCAAGTCGGTTAACCATTGGTTTTTTAATAGGTTAACCGAAACCAAATCGATTGGTTCAGTTAACCGGATTTTTATTCGGTTCGGTTTCTCGGGCTTTCTTGCTTACCCCTAATGACATCATTTCATTTTTTAGGTAGATTTTAAATTTGGCATTCTATTTTCATCATTAATAAAAACACTTCTTACATTTTATACTTATTTATTTTAATTTTTTATTATTTAATTGTGGTGTTATTTATTTTTCATGTTTTTGTTTTCAAAATATTTATTATTATACTATTAAAATTAATATTATGGATTTCAATACAAGAATTTAATGATGAGAAAAATATATCTTAAATATAGGATTTAATGAGAGAAATAGGAAAATTTTTTTATTTCCAATTAAATTTTACATTTTATTTCCATCATTAATAAAAACATTTTTTTATTTATCATACTTATTATTGTTTAATATGTATGCTAAAAATGTTCCCAATTTTTTTAATTTTTATTTTTTCTTCATTTTATTATTTAATCGTGGCAACATGGATTAACCCATTTCACCCAAAATGGTTTAATTTCTTACCACCACATAGATGAAAACACTATTTTTTCTAGGTAGATTTTAAAAGTATAAGTTTTTTATGTTATTGGAATTATTAATTTATTAAGTATGGATTTAATTAATAAAACTTAATGATGAGAACTTAAGAAGAAACAAAAATGACTTACATATATGATTCAATGAACATGAATGCAAGTTAATAACTTAAATGTTGGATTTAATGAGAGGGAATTGAATATCTTAAAATTACCTCTTTTTAACTCATTTAATATCAATAACCGATTACCCAAGTTGTCCTCATTTTTATCAATATATTTAAATATGGAGGGGTAAATTTTGTCCTCAAAAAATTCCAGAAATATTATTGAAGCCATTCGTACTTTATAAAGTAGTATAGATGTGTAGATGCCATTACTCATCGTTAGCCAAAGATTTTTCAAGTAGGCTAACTAATCAATCCTTTCTTTGTTGCCAAACAAACTATGAACAAACTTGAGTATTGCATTGCTAACAAAAGTTCAAAGTGGAGATTCCATTTCCACATTAATCACCTTTTATCCCAATAAACTTAGGCCCCATTTGGCTCACAAGAATAGGGATCTGGAATTAGAATCGGAATTAGAATGGGCTATTCTAACTCCAACTGTTTAATTGAGCAGAATCGAAATCCCATTCACATTCCTGTTGGAATGGCATTCCCCCATTTGAGGGAATGGTCATTCTCTGCCCCTCCCTAGGGAATGAAATTCCATTCCTGCTTATTC